GCTTGAAGACAAAAATGAATAATTTTGAAGATATGATACGATTTTGAGATAAGATAGGCTCGTTTTTACAGTAATCGATTGTCAACAAATATAAAAACGAAGTGCAAATCGTCCATACATTTCCCAACTTGTCCATTTTTGTTTCCAAACTGAGCATCAATTACAGAGAATTCTCTGTACTATCTTGTCTATTACAGCAACTTCCTAATTCTAGTGGCCTGCAAATTCTGGTTCACCGTGTACAAGTAATGGCCGCTTAATAAACGCTGATTCAGGACCGCGTTGCGAATATTATGAAAGGATCTAGGTGTTCTTCCCACTAAGAAATGTTACCCAAGTGGCCTCGTCCAATTTTGATGAAACTTATGCATACATATATACACATATAATACAGATCTCGGGAAAATATGGGGCACGTATTTTTTTAGCAACCACTATTCATATTCCGAGGGTAAAAACAGCCCTCAAAGTTCGGAATGAGAAATATATTTGGTCTATACCCCGGGAAACATTAATTGCGGGGGGAAAAAACTTTAGATATACGTGCCATACGCGTTTTTAACAGCGAATATAATTGAATATTCGCTCATCTGGAAAATGTATTGAAGCGTCAGATTTTAGTTTATTCTAGTCAATGTTTATGCACACGTTAGGCGAACGAAGTATTATATCCAGTTAATCGTATGCATTCCTACATCTTGTACATTGTTCTTTTATCAATTGTTTATAGTATTTAAATATAGTAACAGTTTAATGTTTAATAAATTTAGTATTTAATTTTTTATATAGTAACAGTTTATAGTATTTAAAAAAGTATTCGCTATCACTGAGATATTCCAAATAAGTTACAATTAAAATTGAAAGCACAATTCATTCTAGGATTCCGTGTTTATTCTTAAATATAATAGTTCTAAACAGGACAACTGATTTTAATCTGATAATTTGATTAGAGCACTCGTGATATCGCGAGATGTTATTTTGTAGTTTAGAGCTAAGGTTTATTCAGACAAATTCTTTGACAAATGATTTACGTAATTACTGCACCGACAGTGTTTTCTTTTTCAAGAAGCGATTATAAAGTGGAAATGACTTCGAGGATGTATGAATTATGAATCGTGAGAATTGCCAGCTGTTATCTGTCGGTTCGCTCGCTCCTTAATTGCGTTGGAGACGAAAGCGAGAAACATCGAGTGTGAGTAAAATAGCAGGAGAGGATCGATTAGTACCAAGAAACAGCTACTGAAAAACTCCTTTTCTCTCACCTTTCGTAAACTAATGCAACAATTCGTAATTTCTTCCGTTCGGTAACTTTGAAGTTCATCGTTATTTCTGTCAATAGTCAATGTAAAATCCGTGATTATTTAAACACAAAATTATTTGTTATTTGGAAGTTCGATTCAGCGATATATAAATAATTAATTATTAATTACGTAGATCTAAACGAACGAACTAAAATATTGAAATCGATTTCTTATTTATGAATGCGATTGCAATCGTTACCTATTCATTGTCATTTAATTGTCTATTATTTATAATTCAATCGACACAACGCCGCGGATAAATCATAATTATATAGCAATTATTAACAATACAGTTTGTTGCAATTCGTTGCAATTTGTGATTAATGTAATTCAATCACATGGTATTTTGTAATTGTACCACTGTTGGATTACGAATTACATTGTAATTTAATTGAATGGCGATCCGGATTTACGAATTACAGTGTAATTGAAACACAACGTAATTGAATTACTTTGTAATTGAATTGAATGGTGTCTGAATTTACGAATTACAATGCAATTGAGTCGCAATGTAATTGAATTGAACGGCGATCTGAACGACGAATTAAAATATAATTGAATCACATTTGAATTACGAATTACAATGCAATTGAATCACAACGTAATTTAATTGAATGGTGTCCGAATTTACGAATGACAATGCAATTGAACCATAATGTAATTTAATTGAATGGTGTCCTAATTTACGAATTACAATGCAATTAATTCACAATGTAGTTGAATTACTATGCAATTGAATCACAATGTAATCGGATTACAATGTAATTGAATTACAATATAACTAAATTACAATGTAATTGAATTACAATATAACTCTAAATTACAATGTAATTGAATTACAATATCTGTCTCTTATACACATCTAGATGTGTATAAGAGACAGATATTGTAATTCAATTACATTGTAATTTAGAGAGAGAGAGAGCTGTCTCTTATACACATCTAGATGTGTATAAGAGACAGATATTGTAATTCAATTACATTGTAATTTAGAGAGAGAGAGAGCTGTCTCTTATACACATCTAGATGTGTATAAGAGACAGATATTGTAATTCAATTACATTGTAATTTAGAGAGAGAGAGAGCTGTCTCTTATACACATCTAGATGTGTATAAGAGACAGATATTGTAATTCAATTACATTGTAATTTAGAGAGAGAGAGAGCTGTCTCTTATACACATCTAGATGTGTATAAGAGACAGATATTGTAATTCAATTACATTGTAATTTAGAGAGAGAGAGAGCTGTCTCTTATACACATCTAGATGTGTATAAGAGACAGATATTGTAATTCAATTACATTGTAATTTAGAGAGAGAGAGAGCTGTCTCTTATACACATCTAGATGTGTATAAGAGACAGATATTGTAATTCAATTACATTGTAATTTAGAGAGAGAGAGAGCTGTCTCTTATACACATCTAGATGTGTATAAGAGACAGATATTGTAATTCAATTACATTGTAATTTAGAGAGAGAGAGAGCTGTCTCTTATACACATCTAGATGTGTATAAGAGACAGATATTGTAATTCAATTACATTGTAATTTAGAGAGAGAGAGAGCTGTCTCTTATACACATCTAGATGTGTATAAGAGACAGATATTGTAATTCAATTACATTGTAATTTAGAGAGAGAGAGAGCTGTCTCTTATACACATCTAGATGTGTATAAGAGACAGATATTGTAATTCAATTACATTGTAATTTAGAGAGAGAGAGAGCTGTCTCTTATACACATCTAGATGTGTATAAGAGACAGATATTGTAATTCAATTACATTGTAATTTAGAGAGAGAGAGAGCTGTCTCTTATACACATCTAGATGTGTATAAGAGACAGATATTGTAATTCAATTACATTGTAATTTAGAGAGAGAGAGAGCTGTCTCTTATACACATCTAGATGTGTATAAGAGACAGATATTGTAATTCAATTACATTGTAATTTAGAGAGAGAGAGAGCTGTCTCTTATACACATCTAGATGTGTATAAGAGACAGATATTGTAATTCAATTACATTGTAATTTAGAGAGAGAGAGAGCTGTCTCTTATACACATCTAGATGTGTATAAGAGACAGATATTGTAATTCAATTACATTGTAATTTAGAGAGAGAGAGAGCTGTCTCTTATACACATCTAGATGTGTATAAGAGACAGATATTGTAATTCAATTACATTGTAATTTAGAGAGAGAGAGAGCTGTCTCTTATACACATCTAGATGTGTATAAGAGACAGATATTGTAATTCAATTACATTGTAATTTAGAGAGAGAGAGAGCTGTCTCTTATACACATCTAGATGTGTATAAGAGACAGATATTGTAATTCAATTACATTGTAATTTAGAGAGAGAGAGAGCTGTCTCTTATACACATCTAGATGTGTATAAGAGACAGATATTGTAATTCAATTACATTGTAATTTAGAGAGAGAGAGAGCTGTCTCTTATACACATCTAGATGTGTATAAGAGACAGATATTGTAATTCAATTACATTGTAATTTAGAGAGAGAGAGAGCTGTCTCTTATACACATCTAGATGTGTATAAGAGACAGATATTGTAATTCAATTACATTGTAATTTAGAGAGAGAGAGAGCTGTCTCTTATACACATCTAGATGTGTATAAGAGACAGATATTGTAATTCAATTACATTGTAATTTAGAGAGAGAGAGAGCTGTCTCTTATACACATCTAGATGTGTATAAGAGACAGATATTGTAATTCAATTACATTGTAATTTAGAGAGAGAGAGAGCTGTCTCTTATACACATCTAGATGTGTATAAGAGACAGATATTGTAATTCAATTACATTGTAATTTAGAGAGAGAGAGAGCTGTCTCTTATACACATCTAGATGTGTATAAGAGACAGATATTGTAATTCAATTACATTGTAATTTAGAGAGAGAGAGAGCTGTCTCTTATACACATCTAGATGTGTATAAGAGACAGATATTGTAATTCAATTACATTGTAATTTAGAGAGAGAGAGAGCTGTCTCTTATACACATCTAGATGTGTATAAGAGACAGATATTGTAATTCAATTACATTGTAATTTAGAGAGAGAGAGAGCTGTCTCTTATACACATCTAGATGTGTATAAGAGACAGATATTGTAATTCAATTACATTGTAATTTAGAGAGAGAGAGAGCTGTCTCTTATACACATCTAGATGTGTATAAGAGACAGATATTGTAATTCAATTACATTGTAATTTAGAGAGAGAGAGAGCTGTCTCTTATACACATCTAGATGTGTATAAGAGACAGATATTGTAATTCAATTACATTGTAATTTAGAGAGAGAGAGAGCTGTCTCTTATACACATCTAGATGTGTATAAGAGACAGATATTGTAATTCAATTACATTGTAATTTAGAGAGAGAGAGAGCTGTCTCTTATACACATCTAGATGTGTATAAGAGACAGATATTGTAATTCAATTACATTGTAATTTAGAGAGAGAGAGAGCTGTCTCTTATACACATCTAGATGTGTATAAGAGACAGTTACAATGTAATTGAATTACAATATAACTAAATTACAATGTAATTGACATTGTAACTAAGCATATCGATATAATTGTCTACAATTGAAATTACTTTATAATTCCTCGAGCAATTCAATCGTAACACCACGCAACCCTGCGGCATAGTTGTAACAAGAGAACCGTGTTACGTTTCAGTGGAAGAAGGTGATGGCCCGTACCACGCGCTCACGACGAAAAATGGCGAACACGACTGATGCTCCCTCGCCTGCGAGCAGCCTTCTGTCGTCGACCACGACGACTCCGTTCACCAGCCCGACAACGACGCCCTACTCCACCGAGGGCTATACCTTCAATTACAGCGGCCTGCCTAGTCTAGGTGGCTACTCGTTGGAGGATCTGAATTACACGGAACTCTGGGTGGACGTCTGGAACAGCACCGAGGCCAGTAACGTGACCGAGAGGTTAAATACCACTGTATTATCGTCGGGAGGTGGCTACTGCGACGAATGGGAAGCAGCGCAGCACAAACTCTTCCAGGTGAGCGCGCCGGCAGACGTTTTTTCTGCGTACCGTAGAGACACACCAGCGTGAAAATAGGTGTTTAAGTGGTAGTTAGCAGCAGTACGCAGGGCGAGTCACAGACCATAATCGCGTTAAATCAGAAGCAACTTCTTGCAATTATTTTCGAAGCGAACGTCGTCGCCGTAACTCGGCTGAGTCTGCCAGGATTTTAGGATTCCTTTTCTGGAAACGTTGGTATTTGTTTGCCTTAAAAATTAGGTTGGCGTGAAAAATAGATTTACACATAATTCACGTGTACACTAATGTTCGATTATGGGAGTTTGCAAAATTTATTTCTCTAAAACTATATTCGAGCAAACTGAATGTTACTAGCACAACCAATTTAAAAAAAAATCGCGCTTATAAAATATTGTTACAGATACAATTAATATGGGCGTGAACGATTTTTATTATTATTTTAAAAATCTGTTTATTTATTGAAGTTGATCAGGCACGTCATTTCTCTACGCTGTTCGAATTATTATTTAATGCAATTGTTACTGCCTGTCTTTCGAAGCAAAGAACGCGATATATATATATCGATTGCCATAATAACTGTTGACCGCACTCCTGTAAGACATACGTTATGGGTCTCGAGTAATTGGAGTGGAGTGAACAGCCATTACGACCATCAATGTACCTCGGATCTTTTCTTTCGACGAGCGAGCTATAACGTGTCGCATCGTCTGTTCGGCGCGGCGTCTTTGTTGCGAAATGAAGGAAAACTTGATTCACCAAGAATTACTGAAAGTAATCAACACGAGTCCATGATTGAACCTACTACGACCAAAGATACATTCGGAATCCATTGGCCAATATTCTTGTGAACGTGTTGCAGATAGAAGAACATTTTATTAACTAACGTAGTTTTATAATATTCGAGCAATTATTTCAAAATTTATCAATATTCGGGAATAATATTACATTAATATTCAGAAATAATATTATATTAATATTCAGAAAAAATATTATATTAATATTCAGAAATAATATTATATTAATATTCAGAAATAATATTATATTAATATTCAGAAATAATATTATTTCGAAATTTAATCAATATTCAAGCAATTTCTAGTCATCATTACCAACATATTACAAAATCAGAAATAAAATAAATATGTATATTTCGTTGTATTTTTTAATAGTTTTACTTGCATCGTTGTACGCGAAATGTGACTCACCCTGTATGCAAGTCCTTTAAGGATATACGTTTACAAGATCCACAAATTAGGTTTAGGATGTTAGATAGTGTTTTCAGGTACATAACAGGACACTAGTAGACATTATTTACAAGTGACATAAATATGCATTATGTAGGAATAGTTACTACAGAATAGTGTATTTATTAGAACTTGAAGTGTCGGGAATAGAAAGGATAGAACTCGTTGTATGTACGTACTATGTATACATAACGGGTAAAATGCGGCACATATCGGTAGAATTTCAGGCTGCTATCGATAATTGGATCGGGTCTTCATCCAGGCTCGTGTTTTCCACTGAATCGACTATTATTTGAAAGCCATGTGCTACCTTCTATTCGAAACATCGTAATCTTCGAAACGATTTAAACGATCAGATTCCGCCGTGTTTTATGCAGAACTATTTGTTCGAATAAATTGAACGTCGGTTCATCTACGAAAAGAGAAGCAACTGCAAACACAGTACAGTATAAACTGTAAATCTTGCGCGGTAACAAAATGATCGGCGCTTCGCGTGAATAATTCTAATTTTTGTTTACTTTTTGTATGCGATAATATTTGAAGTCAAAGTTCGTAATTAAAACAATTTCTCGAGTGCTATTAATGAGCGAGACGTCGAAATGGATACGTAAAGACAAGACTTTAGAAAAATGCTGCTTCTGTAAAAATCAAGCATGTCGACACTCGTGTTCCCTTCTCTCAGCAACCGTCGAACCAGAATCGAATTGAAAATGTGTGTGCCTCTACTGCTAAAAGTGACACGTGCTTTAGCCGAAGACCTTCTTCAAAATCGACTTGACGAAACCAAATTGCGTTCTGACAATGCCGTTCCTCGGTCGTTCACGAAACGGAACGGAACGGAATAAAATGAAAGGCACAATCTACCGGTGCCGGGATCAGTGTTCGCAGCAAAATAGGTTACGCAAGGCGTGGGGCATGCGACGCATACGCGAGAGTTCCGCACAGCGGCGTAGCACGTCTAAAGCCTCTGAATTATTGGAACTATTGGATTGGCCAATAAGTCACCGCGTTTATTCCCAATACAGCGTGTCCCAAAATTACAGTACTTCCGGGAAATGACGGATTCCTGAGGTAATTTGAAGCAACTTTTCCCTCAGCGAAAATGCAACCTGCGGCTTCGTTCACGAGTTATTAACGAAAAACACTGACCAATCGTAGAGCGAGTCTGACGCAGCGGCAGTGGTCGCGAGGGCGTGGCGTCAGCCGTACTTGATCTCCCGTTGGTCCCTGTTTTTCGCTAATAACTCGTGAACGAAGCCTCTGATTGCATTTTCGCTGAGGAAAAAGTTGCTTCAAATGATCTCAAGAATCTCTTATTTCCCATAATACCATAACTTTGGGTCACCCTGCAGATTACAGTTTTCGCACTGTAACACAAGGACTCATTTGCCGATCCAATGTAACGTCCACCCGATGGACGCGCCGCTGTGCAGGAGTCTCGGCGCACGCCTGTCTCACTCCTCGCGTAACTTATTTTCCTGAGAACGCTGGTCAGGATTCTCACGAGGAAACCGTTTCGATTTGCCTTTTGGCAGGCGGCGAATCTGTTCTTCGCGGCGGCGTTCCTGGTGCCGCGCTCCTTCAAGGCCTCAGTTCTGGCTCTTCGCACGTTTCTGACGGCCGGCTTCATGCTGGCCGCCCTCTGGGCCGGGTTCACCATATGCGCGCTCGACGCGATGCTATGGTGCTTGGCCCTCGGCCTTCTGAACGGCATTCACTCCCTCATACTAGCCTGTCGATTTCTACCGCCTGCGCTCAGCCCCGAGCTAGTCGAGCTCTATCTGAAACTCTTTAAGCCGTACAAGGTTAGCAAGAAGCACTTCCAGGAGCTGGCCAAGGAGGCGAGGATACTAAAGCTGGACTCTGGTCAGACCTACGCGACGGAAGGCGTCACGCCGGCCGACGAACGACTATCGATACTGTTGCGTGGCAAGTGAGTATTAAAACCCGTGATCCGAGGCCCCGGAATCATAGCCGTCGAATCGATCCCGGTGAACACTCGGAGAAGGTATTGAACGCGTGCACCGCGTGGGAACAGCTCTCGCGGTCGCAGCGACTTAACGCGAGAGCTCTGTTCCGTTAATCCTCGGCTTCTCTTAGACAGCCTCTTTAGTTGGCCTGCTGTCAACCCTCTGCTTTGCGACATCCTGGCGGGCTCTCCTTGCGAGAGCCTCGAAGGGAGTATCGCTGGAACTCCTTTCGATTTTTGGTGGTCGAACTGAGAAACATCGCGATGAAGGAGCTCCCGCTGGTCAAAATATATCGCAGAGCAAACGGTTCGATGGTAATACGATTGCCTTGGAACAAGAATTACTGTCGACGTCGAACCATGTTTAAAAATTGGCGCCGAATGCTTTGGAAGTTTGTTATAAGACGAGAAAATAATTTCAATTCTCAGTTGAATAACTCGTGAACGAAGACGATGCGAATACTTTGATTTATTTTCCAAGGCAACTGTGCGTAGATGGTGAGTTGTGCAAATAGTGCAATATTGAGTTAGGTACTATGAAAATAGAGTAGAAGTTTACGGTCTTGTTTGAGCCAGGAGCTGTGTATTTTAGAAGAAATTAGTTTATTATTAAATTTATAAGAACGTGGATTGAGCGATGTGTGGTTCGTTCAAGCATTCGCTCGATTATTAAAAAGTCATATTTTGAGGATAGTAATGTTTCCTTGCTTTTTCCGACGAATAACAGAACGAATGATTCGTTCCAACGTGACAATTACACCCTGCAACGCAAGATCGATATCCCAAGAAACTGTCCTAATCGATAACCGCGCGAATTTCGTTCATCTCTCTTCTCCCAGGAATATCGTACTTCGTTTCTGTTAATCGCACATTTCTGTGAACATTTCCTTGTCAACTTCGAGTCTCGTTGTTTCTTATCAGAACTATCGTTTAACTTCGTTCTAACACAAAATCCAACATCTCCAAGATCTCATATCTCTTCGACTTTGCAACTTAGTAACTTTTCCATATCGGTCACTCCAAAAGATCACAATTTCATCGACGCACCGATGACCACTTTTTTGTCCTGAACCGTATCGATCCTGCATTGCCAGGAGCCGACTGTCGCGTCACAACGAAGCTACGACAGGAGTTCGCGGCGTCGCGATTTCATACCGTTCTTGGAACTTTTAAACGAAACTTGCACGGGTGATACCTATAAGAAAACGGTCGCCGTAGTTCGACTCCGTCCGAGCCGCGGCGGAAATGTCGCGCGAAAGTTTCGCGCGCGCTTCTCTCGTCGTCGCACGCCGGAAAGTTTTCGTTCGCCCGGTAACGTATCCGTTGCCCGGCTCGCAGGTTGAAGGTCACCTGCGACGGGACACACCTGCACTACATCAAAGCGTATCAGTTCGTCGACTCGCCGGAATGGGAAGCCATGCACGAGAACATCGACGACGTCTTCCAAGTGACGATTAGAGCCGAGGAGTCCAGCACGTACATCTGTTGGACAAGGCTGAAGTTGCTCAGGGTACTCAGGCACAGGCCGCTACTTAAGGTCGTCCTCAACACCCTCATCGGTAAGGACATTACGTCCAAGTTGTACGCCCTTAACGAGCAGCTCGCTGGTGTCGCCGCGGCCAGTGAGACAACCACGTCGAATCCTTACAGGGGCGTCGCGAGAAGTCTTAGCGTCGACGCTGTAAACACTGAAACTGCGGGAAGAGTACGCTCGACGACGTGGAAGGCACAGAGGAGGCACAGCAACCCGCGTAGCGACAGTAAGTCCTTCCTTCTAGAGTCCCCTTTTACGCTTCTGCTAGGACAATAAACAATTACTGTTTCTTCGGGGCGCCGGTAAAACCTTCGGTCTGCTCTTTCCCGGTGCGAAAAGGTGTCTGATCCTTCTAGAAACGAAAGAGGCTGCTAATTCGAAAAAGCGAAGAGACACTTGTTCGTTTGTTTGGTAAAGTTGTCGCTTCTGATTTATACAGGATATTAAAATTTTTATATTTCGTTAGCCGGTTAGCTGCGACGACGATTTTATCATCGTCAGCGCGACAGTCGACGCGGCGAGACAAAAAGTCCGAATTTCTGTGAGAAGTCGGCCGGGGGGCAACGGTTTCAATCCGCGAGCCGAAGCGACCGGTGAAAAAAATATATCGTTTCGCTAGCCTCGCTTTTCGATGGTTCCACGACGATCATAGGGCCGGGGGAGGGAGGAGCGAGGAGGTTGGTAGCGATTAAGCTTCGCCGGACTTGGGCAGACTCGATCGATCGGTATCGAATAGCAATTACGCGGGTCGCATGCCGGATACGCCGAACTGACGAGCGTTGAAATTGACTGTCCACAGGGAGTTCACCTTCCCGGTACTCGCACCAGTATTGGGCGCCCGTGGTGGCGAATCACTTCCCGCCGACTTCGCCGTTCACCCAGGGTCAGAACCTCGGGTACTCGTTACTGCCGCAGGGTGTTCAGTTTTCGCCACCGCCACGGGCACCCCTTCTGTCGCATCAGCCGTTGACACGGCAGCGTAGCGGCGGCACGAGCGGCGATTATACCCTGCTACCTCAGACACCGAAGCTCGAGAGGAAACGCTCGAAAAAGGGAACGAGGGAGGTGAGTGCGCTCCACTTCGCTGTATCTGTGACGCGGCGCGACACGCGCTGCTAGATTCTTTCGCGGTACGGGACAAAAATGGGGCACAAAAGCTGCAGTGGCCCTCGAAAGTAGACGTAATTCGGGATTCTTTTTTTTTAATTAATCGTCGCCGCCGAACTGACGCAGAGGTTGCCGCGGCGACCGTTCGAGCAAGAATCGGATCAAACGCGGCCAAAGGGTCTATACTGGTACGCGTCGTGTGACTCACGTGGATAAAGGCATTCTTTTAAACTTTTTATCGTCTGTTTCTGTTAGAAACTTCCAGCGAAATCATTTCAAGTTGATATGATCATTTTGCGATTGAGATATTTGTGCAGACGTTGATCGTTTTTATTTGTCTATTTTGGAATAAGAATGGGTCTGCTGTTTTAAATCTATTCTAGAATCTGTTTGAAATCTATTCTGGAATCTGTTTTACATTTATTCTGGAATCTGTTTTAAATCTGTTCTTAAATCTGTATTAAATCCATTCTATAATCTGTTTTAAATGTATCCAGAAAATCTATTTTAAATCTATTCTGGGAATCTGTTTTACATTTATTCTGAAATCTGTTTTAAATCTGTTCTTGAATCTGTATTAAATTCATTCTATAATCTGTTTTAAATGTATCCAGAAAATCTATTTTAAATCTATCTTGAAATCTGTTTCAAATCAGTTTCTGAAATCTGTTTTAAATCTGTTCTTGAATCTGTATTAAATTCATTCTATAATCTGTTTTAAATGTATCCAGAAAATCTATTTTAAATCTATCTTGAAATCTGTTTCAAATCAGTCCTCAAATCTGCAATAAATCTATTTTGAAATCAGTTTTAAATCTATCCTAAAATCTGTTTTAAATGCATGCAGAAAATCTATTTTAAATCTCTCCTCAAATCTGCTATATATCTATCCTAAAATCTGTTTCAAATCTATCCTAAGAATCTATTTTAAATCTATCCTAAAATCCGTTTTAAATCTATTCTGAAATCCTCAATCCTATAAATCTATCCTAAAATCTGTTTCAAATCCATCCTAAAAATCTATTTTAAATCTATCCTAAAATCCGTTTTAAATCTATCCAGAAATCCTTGCTCCAAGAACACCAACCAACAATTCCAGGGATGAATAATGGAACCGTTGCACATACGACTGTTTAAAAATAATGTGATAGGGTTTAACCCTTTGCCGTAGCCAACGCTCCAAAGCGCTCGGGATTTATATGTCCGCCGCCGGTCTGTACGCTCCAAAGCGCTCTTGCTTTATTCGGATTGATATATTGAAATTTGCAGATTATTTCATACACGAGTAGATTACTCCTGCAAGAATATATTAAAAATTCCGTACAAAAAAATAATCTTAACGATAACTCCTTCACGATGTCTTTCACATGTCTTTCTTCGCCTGTTCTTGAGAATCCACACTCGGTAAATATAAACGTCCGTTCACAAAAACGCGCTCATCCGATCCTAGCAGCGGTCCTTCAAATGAACTCGGCAAAGGGTTAAAGCATCGACGAATCAGCCATTCCAGCGATGCAAGCTCCTGGCAGTAGGTAAATCTGATTTCGCGCAGGAGAAAAAAGCACCGGACATCTCATCACGTTTACCCGAGCATACCGTGAATACAGAAAAATTCATCGGTTCCCGGTGTGCTCCGGCGGGATCTTCCCCGAGTGCTCTCTCTCTCCCCCCCTATTCGCTATTTATCTTAATCCAGCAAAAAGCTGTCCAACCTCTTTGGACGAGGCGACTGATCCGGCAAAAAGCCGAACGGCACCGTTGTTCAATAGCTCGAGCACATTTTCCATGTATCCCGTGCTTTTGTTTATCTCTCGGCTTTTCCGGTTACGGGTATCGAACAGATTGCCGGCGACGCCTTTCAACCCCGCGCCGCGTTTCTTCCCCGCCGCCGGGGGGTGATTAAGTGTCCCGGATCGCGGACCGGCTTTCGCCGGTTTCTTCGACCTCGCCGAAACGATCGCGGCCAAGAAGAGTCTCGCTCGCGCTTGCTCGCCGCGACATAAATCGCGGCCGGCGGAAAAAGCCCGGCGAGCAGCGTATCGTTGCGGGAAAAACTCAATTACGCGGCGTGCTCTCGGGCCAGAAAAGTGGACCGATATTGAGTTACCGCGCGCCTCGGCCGGCTACGGCCAGATGGTGTCACTCTTGACCCCGCTAGCAAAAAGACACCGACACCGGCCGAACCGGGGAGACGCCGCGCCCGGCTCTCGCCCACTCGTAAATAGAGCAGCTGTCGCGGAAAAGGCTGCGCGAGACTCTTCAAGTCAGAAGTGTCACGGAACTGGCTCCTCCACGGAGAGAGACAAACGCCGCTACGTTAGACGCTCCGACGCGCTATTCTTTCATCGCCCCGCGGCGGAATTTCGCTAACCGACGGTTTACTGCGAACCACTTTCCTTTTGCCACGATTCTATCGCGCGGCGAGCTTTCCGACGCGTCGATTTTCTTCGATTACCCGACACTCTCCGCGCGGATTTCGATTAGGATCGATGAGGGTTTTCGGGTGAATGCGGCGATTTTTTGGGTAATGATTGAGATAACGTGATGCAGTAATTTGCGGAGAATTGAAACCGGCAGATCTGAGATAAAAAAGAGCGAGATTCTTCGGGCCGCGCGGCTCGTTTTTACTGAAATTCGAGGCAGTCGACAGAAAAAGGCAGCGGCCACTATGCCAGTGATATTAACATAAGTAGTGGTATTAACATAAATATCTAAAATAACCTTAACTTTTTTATTTCTGATCTTTTTCACGATTCGAAGGCAATTAATCGAACAGCGCATCCAATTTAGCGTCGACGTAGCAATAAATTACATGGACGTAGGACTAGCACAGGGAAATTCACGGCAACCTGAAATTTGTCATTTTCAGGGAAAATTACTGTACACTGAAATGTTGACTTCGCTGTCATATCGCGTCGAGATGTCCCACATTTTTTCCCAAAGAAATAATATTGGTCGTGGGAAGAATAAAATTAACAATTAATTCAATGTACTTGGAAGTGCCATATCGAGCTCTAATAAAAGAAACAATGTTCTAGAACGTTCGAATTATGTTCTCGAATTTTTAGGTCTCGATAGTATCGCTGGCTTTTGAACGACAGTTGTTTGAAAACTGAACTGGGTCTGAGTGACCCAGTATGGCACACGTGTCTCGCGTAGGACGTGTGACAGCGGAGGATTAGTTTGGAGTAACTTCTGCAACATTGGTCTGAACGACAGAAATATTTTTGAGAACGTAAAGGGATTTATATGTTGGAGAGTTACTGAAGAAATTTCTGGAAAAATTGCAATTGCTTGGAATCAGAAAGGAATCTGAAAATCTCACGTTTCTGAAATTTCTAATCTGAGCTCGGAACAAAAATTTAAAGAATGCGTTTTGTGGATCGTGATCCCTCAAATGTACAATAAATAACAGTACAATAAATAAATAATAATAACAGTAAATAAATACAGTAATAGTACAATAATAACTCAGCTTGTAAACCAAAATAAACAATTTGGTAAAAAGAGACACGATTAGAGCCTCTCAGCTTGTTTTTGCAGTTATTGGCAATCGACGAGGCTCGAATAATCGTGTCGCCTCTTCCCAAATTGTCCATTTCTGTTCACATGCTGAGGGACAATTGGAGAGAATTCACCGTATGCTGAAAATTTCCTGAAAAAGCAAAACAAATTGTTTCAATTCTGTTACAGACTGTGATAAAAGAAAATTGAATAATAATTTCTAAAAGTTAGGTGGTTTTACTGAACAAGTGATTTAACATTTCCAGTAAGAAGCGTGAACAATATTATGCAACAGAGACAACGGAAATAAAGTTGCCGTACGAAAATGATCAATCATTCGTTCAGAATTTCGAAAGATTGCATTTGTAATAGATGGCTGAGACATGCTGTGGAACAGCGATCAGTCATTGTATCGTTGGCGATGTTCCATCAGTGAAATGAATGCGATGCATTCAATCTCAACTAGGCATCGGCTTGTTTACGAAGTGCTTTAGAGGGAAACTAAAAAGGCGAACAAGACGTTTAGGAAAGGAGCCCATCGATTACTGGTTTCAAAAAGCGGAGCAAGTGTCAAGAACGGTTTGTGTGTCTAAAGGTTTCGAATCACTCCGTTAAATTAATGGCAATAAATATCATGCATACTTAGTAGATCGGTCAAATAAACTAACTACAGAGAAATTCCTTGGTATATTCAGATTAAAACTTCATTCTGGAGATGTTATAATTCAAAACTGAAAGTTTCTAGCTTTAGACTAAAATTTCAGGCTATAATAATACGACGCGATATGTTGCTTACTTCTTTACTTCAACAAATAGTTTTTATTAAATATATATAAAATCAACATTAATCACAATTAAGCAGATCACCGTATTTTCTGCGTTAGCACTCATTAACAAATTATTCGAATAAATAGATATAATAATTTATAACGAATAGTGAACGATTGTTATTCGAATCAAGTATACAATTGAGTAGAACTCATTCGGATAATTGTCTCAGATAAATGTTTATTCGATACAATTCCAGTAATTCCCGATTCTGAAACAGACATGTATTCCTTGATTGAGAAAATAATGTAGAAATAAAATTCGCAATAACTATGAAGTCTGCATATCTTAAATACATAGTGTCCCATAATTATGTTAATATCTGGAGAGAGGTGATTCCTGAGGTGATTTCAAGTAACTTCTTCCTTAGCGAAAATGCAATGCGCGGCTTCGTTTACGAGATATTAACGAAAAACACTGACCAATGAGAGATCGCGTACAGCTGACGCCACGCCCTCGCGACCACTGCCGCTACGTCAGACAGCTAACGCGACGCGGCATTGGCCACAAGGGCAGAACGACGGCCGCACTCGCTCTGCGATTGGTCAATGTTTTTCGTTAATAACTCGTAAACGAAGCCGCGGATTGCATTTTCGCAAAGGAAGAAGTTGCTTCAAATAACCCGA